ATCCTAAGTGAAGTGGATAATGGAATGGAAACACAAACACCGTGCATAGTCTCTAATAACTGGGAGCTGATCGACAGGCACACACGGGCACAGAGAGATGTAAGGGTCATTGGAAAATCAAGGGGCAGGGGGACAAAGAAGAGGAGGGATAAAAACCTACCTGTTGGTACTGTGAACACTACTGGGGTGATGGGCACATTCAAAGCCCAGATTAAGCATTATAAAAGATATTCATGTAAGGGGCGGCACTTGTAGCTCAAAGGAGTAGGGCACCAGCCCCATATGCCAGAGGTGGCAGGTTCAAACTCAGCCTTGGCCAAAAATTGCCAAAAAAAAAAATAATAATAAAATAAATAAATATATATATATATATATATAAATCCATATAAGAAAAACATTTGTACTCCCTATATTTTGAAATAATGAATACATACAGTGATTTTTATTTTTTTATTTATTTATTTTTGTGACAGAGCCTCAAGCTATCCCTCTGGGTAGGGTGCCATGAGATCATAGCTCACAGCAACCTCCAACTCTTGGGCTCAAGCGAGTCTCCTGCCTCAGCCTCCCAAGTAGCTGGGACCATAGGCACCCACCACAACGCCCTGCTATTTTTTTTTTTTTTTGGTCGCAGCTGTCATTGTTGTTTTTGCAGGCCTGGGCTGGATTCGAACCTGCCACCTTAGGTATATGTGGCTGGCGCCTTAGCCACTTTAGCCACAGGCACCGAGCCCATACAGTGATTTTTAAAGGCAATGGAAGCAGCAGAGCGAAAGGCAGGCTCTGAGGTGCCTGCTAAGGAGGGATCACTGGGCAGAGCTTCTCTTTCTTTTTCTATTTTTTGGGGGGTAGGGGACACAGAGTCTCATTAGGTCACCCTCGGTAGTGTGCAGTGGTGTCACAACTCACAGCAGCCTCAAACTCTTAGGCTTAAGCAATTCTCTTTCCTCAGCCTCCCAAGTAGCTGGGACTACAGGTGCCCACCACAATGCCCAGCTATTTGTTGTTGTTGTTGTAGTTGGCATTGTTGTTTAGCTGGCCCAGGCCAGGTTTGAACCCTCCAGCCCCAGTGTATGTGGCCGGTGCCCTAACCACTGAACTACAGGCACTGAGCTAAAGGCCAGAGCTTTTCTTATCTGTCCAGGAGGCCAGGTCCTGCTACTGCCCTGAGTTAGAACCCAGCATGAGAAAGCTGCTTCCTGTGGTCTCCAAAGGGCAGAGTAGGGTGTGGGTTTCAGCTCAGCTGTGATTCTCCTTCCAGCCAGTGCCAGAACACATGAGTTCTGGGTGACAGGCTTTGGCTACACACAAGAGAATGCCAGAGACTGGCTCAGGAGGGAATGAGCTGCCCATCCCTGTAACTGTCCCTGACAGGCCCAAAGGAGGCTGGGTGCAGTGGCTCACACCTGTAATCCTAGCACTCTGGGAGGCCAAGGAGGATGGATCACCTAAGCTCAGGGGTTCAAGACCACCCTGAGCAAGAGTGACACTCTATCTCTACTAAAAATAGAAAAACTAGCCTAGCATTGTGGCAGATGCCTATGGTCCCAGCTACTTGGGAGGCTGAGGCAAGAGGATCTCTTAAGCCCAAAAGTTTGAGGTTACTGGAGCTATGATGATGCCAGGGTACTCTACCTAGGGCAACAGAGCAAGACTCTGTCTCAAAAAAATGGGGGAGGCAAAAGGAGAGATTGGTGGCCCCCATCAAGGGAAGAGTGGGAGAGAGAATTGTGCTTGAGCACAGGGCATCAGGGAAGGTGTGTGGAAAAGTCAGCATTCCAGCTGGGCATTGAGAGGGCGAGGTGATTCCAGTGTCAAAAGAGCCATCAAAGTCCCTCCCTCAAGGCAGGACACACCATCATCACTAATTCACAGGAGGCTCAGGGAGCTGAAGTCACCTGCCCAAGGTCACACAACTTAAGTTATGCAGTAGCTTTTGAAAGTTCAGAGGGTCCCCAGGGCAGGGCCTGTCCGGGAGCCAGTGGGTGCCACCAGCATGGCAATTCAGGTCCAGTGGTTAATTAATAACTGGAAGGTCCTGACGCCAGCTCCCAGCTGGGAAAGCTGGGAGGTTGAACTTGAGCCGGTTTGGGAGACTGGGCGAGTGGGTGACAAGTCGCTCCTGACTGAGAAGGTTGCTCTGTGCGTCAGGACTGGGCTGCAGGTCAGAGGATCATGCAGAGAGAGCGGAGGACAGAGCCAAGCTTGAGGCTGCTCCCCAGGACCTGAGCTGGAACCCAGAGCTGCCAGGTGAGAGGCTCCCCTGTGAGCAGGACACCTGCTGGCCTGCTGGTCTACCAAATTAACTAACTGGCTACTTAGCTCACTCTGTTCCTATCTATTTCCTTCCTTCCTTTCTTGCTGTCTTCTGTCTCCTCTCCCTCTTTCTTCTTTTCCTTCCCTCCCAACCACCTCTGATTCCGCAGCTGCCTAAATTTCTTCCTCCTTAACTAACCAACTTACATCCTCACTCCTTTCCCATTAACTTCATTCCTTCTTAACTTTCTAACTTCTCCCTGAAATTCCAGGCCCTGGGCTCTGGAATCAGGCGGCCTGGATGCAAATGCTAATGATGTCACTCATTAATTATGTGTCTTTAATCCTGTCCTGTCCCTCTTCATGCCTCAGTTTTTCCTCCTCCAGACAGGGATGATGACAAGTTCCTGACCTGGGGGGTTGGAGAAACAAAGTAAGATCAAGCTGGTCCTTTGAACCGGGTTGGCAGTGGGGTGAAGACAGGCACGACAGAAGAGGGTTCATGAGATCAGGAGCTGGTCTGGCTTCCAGGGAAGGAAAATGAGAACAGATGAAAGGCTTAGTCCAGCACACCAGGTTGGCTGGGGGAACGTTCCGAGAGAGAGCAGTGTGACACTGCCACCCCCCATCCCCTTCAGCAGGTCCAGGGAGATGTAAAAGGTCTAGGTAGTGATGGGACAGAGGGGACAAGCCGAGGCTACAGCAAGTTAGGAGAAGGATGGGCTTGAGGGACAGGCTTGACGGCTTATGCAAGGGCTTGGGTGACCCCCTTGGGAGTTCACCAGGACTTCTCTAAGTCTGAAGAGTTAGGAAAAAATATTGATGTCCAACCTGTGGCTGGAAAATCAGACAGCATTGGTGTAAGAGAGAAGAAAGCCTTAGGTATTGAGTACTGTACAGGCATGAGGTCACCGTCAAGGTGATGGGGGAGGGTAGTGACAGGCCCTGGGAAGTTCCCAGCCGGACTTTGTACTGAAGTATTAACTGCACAGCAACATCTTGAGAAATTGTACACAATAATGCAAAGATAAAAATGACCTGACCCAACAACCCACTGTTACCTTGGGTCATGACCCTCCAGCTTTTGTGTGTGTGTATGTGTATCTGTACACACAGAAGTGTATGTGCCTACATGTCTTTTTACAGAATTCATACTCCTAGTACACCTACCATTTTGAAACTTTTTTTTTTTTTGCTTGACATTATATCACATATATTTTGCCGGGTTTTTGTTTTGTTTTGTTTTGTTTTTGAGACAGAGTCTCAAGCTGTCACCCTGGGTAGAGTGCCATAGCATCACAGCTCACAGCAACCTTAAACTCTTGGACTTAAGTGATTCTCTTGCCTCAGCCTCCCAAGTAGCTGGGACTACAGGCGCTTGCCACAACGCTTGGCTATTTTTTTTGTTGCAGTTGTCATTGTTGTTTTAGCTGGCCTGGGCCAGATTCAAACCCACCAGCCTCTGTGCATTGGCTGGCGCCATAACCACTGTACTACAGGTGCCGAATCTGTTTTGTTTTTTTTTTTTTTTTGATACAGAGTCTCAAGCTGCAGCCCTGGATAGAGTGCCATGGCATCATAGCTCATAGCAACCTCCAACTCAGGCTCAAGAGATCCTCTTGCCTCAGTTTTTCTATTTTTAGTAGAGAAGGGGGTCTCGCTTTTGCTTAGGCTGGCCTCAAACCTGTGAGCTCAAGCAATCCACCTGCCTCGGCCTCCTAGAGTTCTAGGATTACAGGCGTGAGCCACTGCACCTGGCCATATTTTGCTGTTTTGATTTATGTGGGTTTACATATAGATTTTTGGTTGCATAATTTCCCATTTTGTACATGTACCAAAATTTATCAAATATTGGTAGTCAAATGTGTATGGAGCACCCACCGCATTTCAGGCCTGTGCGAGGTGGTAGCGATTCAAGTAGCAGTCCTCATGGAACTGATGCTCTAGCCTGAAACAAAATGAAACCAAATAGTTGTATAAAAGGCATCAGAGTCTGGTCAGTGCTACCAAGTAAAATATAAAGCAGAAGAAGTGTGCAGGGAATGAGCAGGAGTGGTTTGCCCAGGACTGTGACAGTTTAAGCACTAAAACCCCTGACTCGCAGGCATACTAAGATGACCTATCACCTGTCATCAGCACAAGCCTATTCAAGAGTGGACGTTTAAGCAGAGACTTCTGAGATGTTGGTGGAAACCAGCTATACAGCTGCTTGGGGAAGACAGTCTAGGCAGAAGGAAAAGGAAGTGCAAGGGGTCGGAGGCCAGAGGGCACTTTGTGTGTTTAAGGGACAGCAGGAGAACACCAGAGAGGCCGGGGCAGTCAGGAAGGGCTGACGGTGGAGAGGAGACAGGAGCCAGGTCGCATGGAATCGCCAGGACCGAGGTAGAGCCTTGGGTTACATGTTGGGTGTGAGGGGGAAGCCAGGGGAGTTTGTGAGGCACCTGATGTGATTTACATTTTGAAAGACTCAGCCTGACTTTTGGCAGAGAAAGACTGTAGTGGGTAAATATAGGAGCAAGAGCTGGGTATGGTGGCCCGTGTCTGTAGTCCCAGCTACCCGGGAGGCTGAAGCAGGAGGACCACTGGAGCCCAGGAGTTTGGGACCAGCATGGGCAACATAGTGGGATCCTGTCTCTAAACAATTAAAAAAAAAGAAAAGAAAATATAGGGCAGTGCCTGTGGCTCAAAGGAGTAGGGCATTGGCCCCATATGCTGGAGGTGGTGGGTTCAAACAAAGCCCCAGCCAAAAACTGCAAAAGAAAAAAATATATACATACACACACATATATAGAGGCAGGGAGTTGGTGAAAGGCTTTTGCCATAATCCACGTGAATGAGGATGGAAGCACAGGCAGGATGGCTGTGGCAGCTTTAGTGGTGAGCAGCAGGGGTTTCCAGATGTGTTTTTCATGGGATCTCATGATGGGGAGGAAGTAGGGTGAGGGCACATGGTTTCTAAACTGAATTCCAAGTTTCTGGCTTGAACTTTTGAGTAAGTGGTAGTGCCATTATGGAGCTGAAAGACTGCTAGAAGAGCAAGCGAGGGAAGGCTGGAGGGCACGCGAGGGAGAATCTTTGTTTTGACATGTGAAGGCTGAGATGTCACTACACATCTAACTAGGGAACTGTCCAGAGCTCAGGAGTGAGTTGGAACTAGAGAGATAAATTTGGGAGTTGTCGAATGTAATTGGTTAAGCCATTCAACTGGGTGCAATCAACTAGAGGACAAGTGTTGATAGAGGTACAAGGACTAAACCCTCGGATAGGTCCATGTTTAATGATTTTAAAAAGGAGAAAACCCCAGCACAAGAGATGGAGAAGGCAGCCAGTGTGCTAGAAGGGAGCCAGGTGCTCCTGAAATCGAGCGGGTAAAGTAAGCGTGCCACATCCTTCAGAGGAGCTGAATAAGGTGAAGAGGAAGAATGCATCACTGGCTGTGTCACACGAAGGTCACTGGTCTGCCCTTTCACGGGAGTGTCGGGACGAAAGCCCTTTCAGGGTGGACTCGAAAGAGAAAAAGAAGAAGAGGACAGATGATAAGTCCTGATGACCCTTTTGAGAAGTTTAACTGAAAAAGGGAACAGAGGAATGGAACAGCATGTGAGGTCGAGGGAGGGCTGTTCTAGCCACAGGTATTCCAAAGCGCCCCGTGGTGGGACATTCAGGTTACTGTTACCACGATGATTTGCTGTTATAAGTAATGCTGCCGAATGAAGGCCCCATCAGGGTCTTGTTTTTGAAAAGAAATGTCCTTGTTCTGGGTGTGTGTTTTGTCAACATGACATCCTACTGGTTGTGTATTGGTTCAACACTTCTGCTTTGTGGAAAGATGGAAGGCTCTGAGATCATTCACTCCAGTGTCCTTTGACCAGCACCTCCAGATCCCCTGCATTTCAGAGCCCACAGACTGTACCCCTGTGGACACTGGGCTCAGTTTTCTCCCAGACCAAGTCCCTTGGCCCCAGCCCCATGGGTCCTCCTCCTGTAGTGGTGTAGCCATACTGAAAGTTCCAGAGGGGCAGGCTGTGTTAGGCCCATCAAATCCTTCATTTCCTAGAAGACTGGCCCACCCCCTTTGCACTCCTAGGGAGAGGAAGGGCCCTACTGCTCCAGACTGGAAGGCCTTCCTGAGCCAGGGCGCCCCCTGGGACCCTGCTTCTTACACAGTAGAGTTGTGTGCCAGCCAGGCCTGCCCTGTGGACTGGGCCAGAGCCCTCAGGGGCTGGCACGGGAAGGTGCTCAGCAGAGATGCCAGCACCTTTGGAACATCTGCAGACCCTGAGTGATGGATGGCTCTCAGCCACCATGGTCAAGGTCAGTGAGCCTTGTCTTCATCCCAGATGGTCAATACCAGGCTTGCAAAAGCCCTAGGGACCATATGATCTTACAAATAGGCCCTGTACACACGCACACGCACAGAAGTTGACTGATACACACCAATATGAACACAGACACATGATGACATAGCTATACACAATGTGGTTACACTGTCACGCACATGTAGCAATAGACACCCATAGTCTTCTGCACACACACCTACAGACTCCCACACACAGACTCACTCCCACCCACACACACACACAAGCACACTGCCACAGCACCTTACCCTCTATGAAGACACGCTGGCACAGGCTACACAGAGGCACACTGAGACACACCCACACCCACACTGCACACACTGTGGAAAGCGAGTGATGCACAGTCACGGCGCACATATGCTGACAAAAAAGTGCAAATGTGATCACACCGAGACATACGTGCAGGCTTACACACACACACTGACATAAATGCCTGAAATAGAATCTCAAAGATACAGCACATAGGCACACTGAAACACACGTATGCACACAACACTTGTGCGTGCACACCACACACACGTACCCTGACATGTGCAGTCACACGTGTACTAATCAGCCCTGAGGTGTCCAGGGCTCTCCTGGGGCTGCTGCCCAGCCCCTGAGGGCACAGAGGTCTCCAGTCCCATCGTAAGCTCTGCTGGATTCTGTGTGACGTCAGCCAACCCCTTCGCTGCTGCCAGGAACTGCAAGCTCAGTGCTGGGGCCAGGCCGGCACCAGGCACAGACACTTAGGCCCTTGTTGGGAAAACAGAGAGAGGCTCTCTTGTCCACTACTCGTCCTTAGCTCCAACTGCTGGTTCTCCCAGAGACTTCTCCTCAGGCTATACAGGTACATGGGGCCAGGGAGGGGAGGGCCTGGCAGTGGGCCATCAGGGTCAGCCCAGGAGAGGGTGTGGCAGAGTGGTGGGCTGTCTGAAAGAGCTCATACCCATGGCCTTGGCCGGAGCCAGGCTGCTCACCCTATTCAGCAGGTCTACCCTGACAGGGCTGTGGGTATCCCCTTCTATCCCCTTTACTTTCTCAGTTTCTAAGGAGGCCAAGGGAAGGGTGCCTTTAGGACCCCCCTCAAGGGAGTAGAGATGGCCGATCTTTACCCAAAGAGACTGGACTGCAACCCTGGCCCCACAATGAGCTAAACCTGTAGTATTGGGATGCACAGTGCCCAGCAGCTCCTGGGAGCAGCTGGAATCTCAGGTGAGATCTCTGCTCTTGGCCTTGGCCTTACAAGCAAGGATGAGGCTGTGGGACCCCAAGTACACTGAGCCAGGCCCTGGACACCCTGGCCTCCTCCACACTGTGCTCCTGGCTACATAAACTAGCTGGTCACAGCTTCTGCTGTTTCACTTCAAACAGACCCTGGCCAGTCTTAGGTCTCTCTGTGGTTCTGGCCCAAGGCCCCAGGTCAGCTGCCATTCCTTGTGGTAAGGCAATTAATAGTCAGCAGAGAGCCCAGCTGGGACTAGCCATGGTAATTTAGGGTTGCCAACTAGAGTCTGGAGAGCTCAACCTGTACCTCGAAAACTGTGTGTCCCTGGGGAAGTCCTTCTTTTGGCCTTGGGCTCCCCACCTATGAAGTCTATATGCCCTGCAGGGGCCCTTCCAGCCCTGGCCATGCTGGACTGCTGGAGATGCCTAGCTCACAGGGGGTCATGCTGCCTTGGATGTCCCTAATTCTTGAAAAGACTTAGCCTGGGAGGGGCCACATCCTCCATCCCTCCTGAGAAATTTGGTTAGAGAGGCCGGTCCAAAAGTTGTCATTTTTTTGTCTTGTCTATACTGGAGTTGCTGGGCTCTGGGGTAGGAGATGCTCACACTGAAGCAGGTGCAGGGCTTGGGGAGGCCCAAGAGGACAGTGGCGCCTGAAGCACTGGAGGGGTGATGCTAACTTATTAGCACCAGCTCTCTCATGTCTGCTGTTCCCTGTGCCCACAGAGCCCACCTGATCACTGCCACAGAATGGACTCTAGCCCGGCCGGGGCCCCCAGTCCACAGGTGAGTGGCTTTGATACCCTACTCGTCCCCAGAGGCTCAGTTCCTTCCAAGGCTGAGGATCTATAGAAATACCAGCCAGCCCCATGGGCTGTCCCAGGACTGGGGGCTGCCAGGGGTCACCAAGAGCACACAGGAGAAGACTTCTTGCAGGGTAAAGAGAGAAAAGATGTGAGCAAGGGCTCCAAGAACTAGATGGGCTTCTTTTCTTTGAGGAGCCAAAACATTCATTCATCTTTCTTGGGATGTATGTTAAAGGATAATCCCATCAAGTTGTTGGGAAAAACTTAAATGGAGTAACAAATATCTGATTCACATATAGATAGCTTGCACTGTGAAAAAAAGTGTTACATTAAAAAGAATCTGAATTTTTTTTTGAGAAAATAAAAGGTAGATGGGAGAGAAAAATCAGGGAAATGGTCATGAGGACCCCTGGTCCTCATGCCAGCCTGGTTGCCTGTGAGACCTTGGACAACTCTCTGCACCTGTTTCCTCACCCATGCAATTGGTACAATAGTCAGCAGCCTTTTGGGTGGAAAGGAACAAGGAAGGAGGAAAGATGGAAGGAAGCCTAGTAGATTTGTCAGAGAAGGGATCAAGGCCTGGGCCAGGGAAAGGAAGGGAGGCCCAGGAGTAGGGTTTTGCTGATCTTAATCAAGTCTTTCTTTATTGTCTTTAGCCCTCCAGGGCCAATGGGAACGTCCACCTGGGACCTTCAGCCAACCCAAAGTGAGTTTAGGTCTCTCAGGTGGCTTTCCTAGCTGGCTTGCTTTATACCTGGCTCCCTAGCTTGAGACTAGAACCCAAGTTCTCTGGTCTGGCCTTCAAAGACCCTTTGCCATCTGGACCCAGCACCCTCCCTCAGCTTTACTGCCCACTAACTTCCCAGCCTTTGCTCTTGCTGAACCCACTGCAGGCAGAGCGCCCCTAATATCTGCGCTGTTAGTAACTCTTCTCTGGCCCTTTCTGGAATTTGGGGGCAAGATCCCTGCCTCCTCTGCAGGGTTTCTGGTTTTACCTCTACCTTGTCTATTGTCAACTTGAATGTGAGCCCCCCAGGAGCAGGAGAGAGTCTTTCTTTGAGCCAGAGTCTCACTTTGTCGTCACCTTTGGCAGAGTGCTGTGACGTCATATCTCACAGCAACCTCAGGCTCTTGGGCTGAGGTGATCCTCTTGCCCCAGCCTCCCAAGTAGCTGGGACTACTGCTGCCCACCACAATACCTGGCTCTTTTTAGGGACGTGGTTTTTGTTCTTGCTCAGGCTGGTCTCGAACTCCTGAGCTTAAGCAATCCACCCAACTTGGTCTCCCAGAGTGAGATCACTTATAAGAGTGACTCTTATAAGCCCTCCCTTGGCTGGGAGAAGGGACATTCTTCAGGTGCAAGGGTCTGTGGCTTCTGGCATTTCCCAGCCCTAAAGCTAAAAAGAAGGCAAGGTTTGTCCTTGGGTGCCAAGTTTCAGAGTTCCAGAATGCTGATCAGAGTTTTTTCCTCTTCCCCCAGCGCCAGGCCCACGGACTTCGACTTTCTCAAAGTCATTGGCAAGGGGAACTACGGGAAGGTGAATAACCTGATGAGGGTGGGGGGCCTGGTCTCCCCAGCTGTGCCTCTTCCAGCCCCTGTGCACCACACAGCTGAGGATGGCAGCAAGGTTGGCAGGAGGGCCTGTCCATTGTGAAGTCCAAAGTCACCCCAAGGCCTTGTGTTGTGCTTCTGCTCAGGTCCTCCTGGCCAAACACAAGACAGACGGCATGTTCTATGCAGTGAAGGTGCTGCAGAAAAAATCCATCCTAAAGAGGAAAGAGGTACCAGAGCTGAGGCCCAGGCATTTCCTCTCCTGCTTCTCAACTCCCAGGCTAGGGTGGCTTTTAAAAATGGGTCCCACCTCTGAGAGGCCTGTGAATCTGGGTGCAGAGGTAGTCTGGGTGGGGCAGAGGGATCCCCAGAGTGCCGAGCCACCTTGCCCATAGGGCCTTCAGGAGGACCTGTCCCTGCCTCAGCCTTCCCTCAGGCAGGGCGCCACAGTGGGCAAGCCTTCTGCCCTCTCCCTGTGCCAGGCTTGCCAACCATGCAGTGTGGGGTCATGCCTTATCCTCTCCAAAAGCCCTCTGCCAGGCCTGGATTTCTTGATGCTTCAGCTGACTTGAGTCCCTTTACACACAGCCCCATTAATAGGATGGAGCAGGCCCCAGATGACTGAATGTGAAGTCGGAGGACTCAGGAAAGAGTAATTAATGTTAACAAGGACATTGTGGGGCCGGGGGGATTGGGGGGAGGAGGTCTGCCTGAGGAAGGCAGCCTTGCAGCTGGCCTTGAGGGTAAGATTTCTTGAGGGACGTTAGGCAAGGGAAATAGCTCAAGCAAAGGCATGCACATGGATCATTCTGGGCTTCTTTTCTCTTAGAGATTTTTCCTGGAACTCACTTACACGTCATCATAAGTACTTCACTTTTCACCCCAGGAGCAGGGGCTCCAGGGACTGGAGCTGCACCCACAAGGAGTGGCTAGGGGTGAGGCTGGCCTCACTGAACGTTGAATGTCAGACAGGGAGCCCGGGCCTGGCTCTGAGGGCAATAGGGAGCCATCATGGGTGATTGAGCAGGAACATGGGAAAGTCCTGGGCGGGAAACTCCCACCAGCAAGGCTGTGTGGGCTGTGCCAGGGATGTGACCTAGGCCCCGTCCGTGTCATTCCACAGCAGGGACACATCATGGCAGAGCGCAATGTGCTTCTGAAGAATGTGAGGCACCCCTTCCTGGTAGGCCTGCGCTACTCCTTCCAGACTCCCGAGAAGCTCTACTTCGTGCTCGATTATGTCAACGGGGGAGAGGTGAGTGGGCCCCAAGGGTGGCTTTTCTGGGCCAGCTCTTGGCTGGGAACCATCGAAAACACATGCCCACTGTGCGAAAGTTCTGAAATGATGTCAGTTCATCCTTACAACAGACCCATTTTGTAGCTGAAGAAAGGGAGGCTTAGGGAGTAAAGCACCTGCTCAAAGCCCATACCTCATGGAGCCAGGACTTGAATGCAGGTCTGTTGGACTCCCAGCTGTAATGCTTTCCTGGCTCATGACCCAAAGTGCCCACAGACTCCTTTTGATAGACCTGGGAGAGGTCAGTGCTAAAAGGAACTCTGTGGTCAGGACTCCCAGCATTCCTGTTTTATACCATAGGCCACAGGGTAGGATTGACTGGTCACTGTAGTAAAAAGAGACCCGACCAAGACAGGTGACCCAGAAGCCCAGCTGAGACAGGGCACCATTCTGGACTTCATTCTGTCTCTCTGGGCAAGATGACAAAATGTAGCAAGGCCCCACTCAGTGACCCCAGATCTAACCCGTGAGACCTCATGCCTTTCAGTCTGACCCCCACGAAGCTCTACTTCGGGGGAGTTTTTGTCATCCCTAACCAAAGTGTTTTCCATGCTCACAAAAGAGGCCAAAGCGATTGCTTCACGGGCACATCTAGCCTGGGCTCAGTTTGACAGCCATAATCATTTTATCATCTGCCTGGATTAGTGGAAAAGCACATTCTTGACCCACCCAGGTTCAAATCTCAGCTCTGCCAATTATAAGCCAGGTGGATCTTGGGCAAGTCACCTGACCATTCTGACCCCTCCCAGCATCCTCTTACAAGAAATGGACATAATATTTGTACCTTGAAGGTCATTGTGAGGATTACCTGATCTAAGAGATGTAACAGGGCCCGACTGGGAGCCTGGAATACCAAAGGTGTATAATCAATGCTAATTAATCTCCACTCCTGTTGACATTTTGGATACCCAGGACTGCTGTGTGGGATGGGGGCCAGCATGCTCTCTTTGCTAGGAATATATGGCAGCTCAAAGAGGTATGACCTGGCCAGCTGCATAGGTTGGGGGTCCTGGGGCCCGACTCTGTACCCTAGGAGCTAGAGCCCCAGGAGCCCACTAACACACCTCCCCTATCCCCAGCTCTTCTTCCACCTGCAGCGAGAGCGCCGGTTCCTGGAGCCTCGGGCCCGCTTCTACGCTGCAGAGGTGGCCAGCGCCATTGGCTACCTACACTCCCTCAACATCATTTACAGGTGAGGTGTGCCTGGGGCTCAGAACCGGGCCCGGGCCCTTCTTGTTCCAATAGCTAGGGGTTGTGCAGACCCCTAAATTCTAACAAAATGCCACTTAGTCCTCTGTTTGGGGTGCGGTTGGGGTCTCCTCCTTCCCAGAACCTGGTGCTCAGCCTCACTGGGCTCTCCCTCTGCAGCTCTGGCAGCCACCAGGAATGGTCCTCCTGCTAGGACCTCGAGTCTCCAACTCTCCTTCCTAAATGGCTTAGACACACAAGGCTCCTTTCTCTTATTTTCTGCAGGGACCTGAAACCAGAAAACATTCTCTTGGACTGCCAGGTTGGTGTGTGTATGGACATGGCAGTTCATGTGTGCTGACCACGTCTGTGCATGTGGGTGTATGTGCATTATACATGTGTGCATTTGGGTAGAGGATACACTCAAGTATGTGTGTGCCTCTGTGCCCATGCATGTGTATGTGTGGTCTATGTGGGGCAGGGGCAGAGTCAGGTGGAGGCTGGTGGATTTTGTCTTTGACTGGGTTCCCTAGAAGCAGACCCTGAGAATGGCAAGGTGAGAGCAGAAGGTTTATGGAGGAATACTCTCAAAAGATAAAATACCGGCTGTGTGCAGTGGCTCATACCTGTAGCCCTAGGGCTCTGGGAGGCTGAGGTGGGGGATTTGAACTTAGGAGTTCCAGACCAGCCTGAACAAGAGTGACACCCCATCACTACTAAAAATAGAAAAACTGGCTGGGCATGGTGGCTCACACCTGTAATCCTAGCACTCTGGGAGGGCAAGGCAGGTGGATTGCCTGACATCACAGGTTCGAGACCAGCCTGAGCCAGAGTGAGATCTCATCCCTAAAAATAGCAGGGCAGGGCAGGGCCGGTGGCTCAAAGGGGTAGGGTGCTGGCCCCATATGCCAGAGGTGGTGGGTTCAAACCCATCCCCTGCCAAAAACTGCAATAATAATAATAATAATAATAGGCTTGGTGCCGTGGCTCAAGCAGCTAAGGCTCCAGCCACATACACCTGAGCTGGCGGGTTGAAATCCAGCCTGGGCCTGCCAAACAATGATGGCTGCAACCAAAAAATAGCCGGGCCCTGTGGCGGCCGCCTGTAGTCCCAGCTACTTGGGAGGTGGAGGCAGGAGAATCACTTGAGCCCAGGAGGTTGCTATGAGCTATGATGCCACAGCACTCTACCTAGGGTGACACAGCTTGAAGCTCTGTCTCAAAAATAATAATAATAATAATAATAAATAGCAAGGCACTGTGGTGGGTACCTGTAGTCCCAGCTACTTGGGAGGCTGAGGCAAGAGAATCACTTGAGATCAAGAGTTGGAGGTTGCTGTCAGCAATGACACCACAGCACTCTATCAAGGGCAACAAAGTGAGACTCTGTCTCAAAAAATAATAATAGTAGAAAAACTAAAACAAAACAAAAAAATAAAAATACTAGCCAGATGTGGTGGTGGGCACCTGTAGTCCCAGCTACTCTGGAGGCTAAGGCAGGAGGATCGCTTGAGCCCAGGAGTTAGAGGTTGCTCTGAACTATGGCACCATGGCATTCTACCCAGGGCAACAGAGTAAAACTCTGTCTCAAAAAAAAGAGAGGTGAAATAACTTCAAGGGGGTTAAGAAAACAGAACTGGGTAGAGGAATAAACTCACCTGCATGGTGGTCACAAGCGAGGGCTCATCTGATCTCACTGGGGTGGAAAGGGCCTGAGCTGGTGACTCGTTAGGATTGTCCCACGCTGAGTCAAAGAGGTTGGGCCTTTGTGTCCCTGCATCCACTAGTCACTGGATGTGGATTGCATAGTTCTGGGTAAGGCCAGTGTCCTAGCTGCCCAGCTGCCACAAGGTGTGTTACTTTCCGCATCCCCAGCCCTCTGTTAAGGAGGCTGCTGTCCAGCAAGGACATCCTGGAGCTGCCACTCTTTCAGGGATGGGTCTGAGACTATGATGAGCTGGGAGCAGACAGTGAAATGCTGTGTCCCCATGATGCCCAGGGGCCCTGGGTCTGAGTAGAGCCTCCAATCTGTTCCTGGGCATCAGATCCCACAGCTGCTGCCCTGGAGAGTGGCATCTGGTCTTTGGGGTTAGGCCTGGCCATGCCCTATCAGGCTTAGACCACCCTCCTGTCCCTGCCCATCCCTATCCTCAGGGACACATAGTACTGACAGATTTCGGCCTCTGCAAGGAAGGTGTCGAGCCCGAGGAGACCACATCCACGTTCTGTGGCACCCCTGAGGTAAGTATATACATCCTAGGAGTGGGCCAGTCAGAGTAGTGGAGGCCACAGTTCCTGATTAAAGTAGGGTGACCAGACGTCCTGCTTTCTAACAATTTGTCCTGCGTCCCCCAGCGTTTTTAAAAAGTCCCGATTTTTGAAAAGAATGCACGAACGGGCGGGAGAACAGGAAGGGAATATATGGTTTTCGGCTGCCATGTGGCTATTTCGCCAGGATATGAGTTTTATATTATTTTTGTTAATTTTATAATGTTAAACTGTAATAATAACAAATAATTGTTTTTTTTTTCACATAAGGAAGCATTTATTTGAAGTTTAACATGAAGTCATACAAACAAAATGTATACAAACACAAATCCACATTGAATCATAACACAGATAGCAAAGGACGCAGTAAAAACAAAGAAAACTAATTGGCAGCTACATACAGTTGGACACATTTGTGTCTTGTACACTAGAAAGTCTTTTACAAAATAATCATCTTAGATCAACAGAAGACCAATCTTCGCTGTTGTCCTGCAAGATGGGTTACATCAGCATTTCCTCCTGTTTCTCTAATGTCCTCCTTCAGTATGGCTGGTAATTGTTTTGGTGATTGCCCCCCCTCGAGATGCCTTGCCATAAGTGCTCTGTTGGCCACTGTAGTCTGCATATCCCTGTCCGGATCCATAGTTCCCATAGTTATACCCAGTATAATCATATCCGCCATAGCCACTATAGTTTTGATCACCACCATAGGCACTATTGTAATTTCCATATCCTTGATCATAATAGTTATTAAATCCTTGGTTCCGGTTTTGGCCCTGACCTCGGCCTCTACCCCTAGTACCACCTCGTCCACTGGACACAGCACCTCTTCCTCCTTTCTGTTGTTGCTGTTGCTGCCTATATACTTCTTTGGGCTGTGCAACTTTGATTTCACACTTCCCAGAACCAATTTGATGGTATCTGCTTTCTAACAATTTCTTTACTGGCTCTTCATCTGTATATGTGATAAAACAAAATCCTCTCCTTAATTGTTGAGAAGTGATTATTGAGAACTGCTTATCAAAGTTGGCATTGTTGTCAGGCCTTGCCCTGCCCCGTCCCCTGCCCTGCCCCCACCCCAGCCATGTTGTCCTGTTTTACCAGTGTTAAAATCTGATCACCCTAGATTAAAGCCAACAGGTTACAGCTGAGGAGACTCACTCTCTTGACTGGAGCATTTCCCCTGAGCTGGCTGTGCACAGAGGTTTCCTCATCTGTGTAATTGGACACCAGCCCTAGGGCTGCCGAGTCCCAGCCAGCTGCTGGTGAAGCTCCACATCGTATTGTCCAGGAGGGACAGAAACAGAAATGCAAGCCACATACACAATTTAACATTTGCCAGCAGCGACATTTAAAAAGTAAAAAGTCCAGGCATGATGGCTTACACCTGTAATCCCAGTACTTCAGAAGGCCAAGGTAGGAGAATCATTTGAGGCCTGGGGTTTGAGACCACCCTGGGCAACACAACAGAACCCTGACTCTAAAACAAATTTAAAGTTAGCGGGGCATGATGATGAATGCCTTGTAGTCCCAGCTACTCAGGAGGCTGATGTGGGATGATGGCTTAAACCCAGGAGCTCAAGGCTGCACTCCAGCCTGAGTAACAGAACTAAGACCTTATCTCTAAAAAATCTCTAAAAAACAAAAAAAAGATATAAAAAGTAGCAGGTAAAACTAATTTTAATGATACATTTTATTTAACCCAATATATTCAAAATATTCTCATTTCAACATACAATCATATAAAAATTATTGAAATAGGGCTTTGTGCCTGTAGCTCAAGCAGCTAAGGCACCAGCCACATACACTAGAGTGGTGGGTTCAAATCCAGCCCACTGCCAGACAGCAATGACAACTTCAACCAAAAAAAAAGAAAAAAATGGCCGGGCACTGTAGTGGGCACCTGTAGTTCCAGCTACTTGGGAGGCTGAGGCAAGAGAATTGCTTAAGCCTAGGAGTTGGAGGTTGTTGTGAGCTATGATGCCACAGTACCCTACCCAGGGGCAATGGCTTGAGGCTCTGTCTCAAAAGAAAAAAAAATATTGAAATATTTTAGTATTTTTGTCCCTAACTAAATCTTTGAAATCTGTCATGGACTTCCCATCTCAATTTGGATCAGCCACATTTTTTTTTTTTTGACACAGTCTCACTATGTCACCCTTGGTAGTGTGCCATGGTGTCACAGCTCACAGCAACCTCCAATTCTTGATCTCAAGCGATTCTCTTGCCTCAGCCTCCCAAGTAGCTGGGACTACAGGAGCCTGCCACAACACCTGGCTATATTTTTGGTTGCAGTTTGGCCAGGACTGGGTTTGAACCTGCCACCCTCAGTATATAGGGCCAGTGCCCTACTTACTGAGCCACAGGCACCGCCCTGGACCAGCCACATTTTAAGTGTTCTATACCCATGTGCAGCTAGTGGCTGTACTGGACAGCACTGCCCTACAGGGTGAAGTCCACATGCAGCAGAAGGACCTGGCCCAAGAATTAAGTCGGAGCTTACAAGTGCAAAACAGGTCCTCCTCCACATTCTAGCTGCCAAGAGGCTGGAGGGTTAAAATTCCCAGGCCTCAGCAGTAATTCACATATCTGTCTGTCCTGCCAAGGCCTCCTTGCAGCCCTGGAATAAAAACCTTTCCCTGAACTCCCACCACTCTTGGACCTTGGACCTGAAGAGGTCCCCAGTGCCTTGAGCAGACATCAGGGAGGGTGTGGGAGGAGGACTGAGGCTGCAGACTAGGAGAGTCCTCCCCACTCGGCTTAGGGCAGGACTTTAGCTGCTCCCTTTTTGTCCAAAGGAAAAGCTGACTCTTGGATCTGATGGGCCTCCTCAGTTTGGTTCTCAGGTAACCAATGGACCCTGGAACCACCTCTGAGCAGGAGCCAGTGCCTGTGTTTGTATGAACGGGGGAAGTGTTTGCTGGGCAAAGCTGGCCCCCCAATGCCTGACAGCCCAGCCATCCCTTTCCTGGACACTGCCAAAGATGGGGAGCAGAGAATGTGGACCCCAGGCTCATACAGGAGACATGAGGCCCCATACATCACCTTTTTCTTTTCTTTTCTTTTTTTTGAGACAGAGTCTCACTATGTCACCCTCAGTTGAGTGCTGTGGCGTCACAGCTCACAGCAACTTCAAACTCTTAGGCTTAAGTGATTCTCTTGCCTCAGCCTCCCAAGTAGCTGGGACTATAGGCACCTGCCACAATGCCTGGCTACTTTGGTTATAGTTGTCACTGTTGTCTGGCAGGCCTGGGCTGGATTTGAACCTGCTGGCTCCAGTGTATGTGGTTGATGCCCTGGCTGCTGAGCTACAGGTGCCAAGCCACATCACCTTTTTCAAGATTTGGCCACTGCTATGGTACCAGAGAGCACAGGCAGGGGTTGTTCCCATTGTTTGAGGGCCTGCGTTTATATTAGCACATAATTTTGAACAGCCCCCAGGGGGAATTCAGCATGCCCATTTCATGGATGAGGAAGCCAAGGCCCTGAGAGGTTAAATGACCTGTCTGAGATTACATACCAACGAGGGCTCAGGGTTTTGTGATTCTGCCTTTCCCCAGACCTACGTGGTCTCAGGGTGGCTTTGTCTGTTGCTGAGACCCCTCTCCCAAGGGCAGAGACACTAGGCTAAGAGGTCATCAAGCCCTTTTTTGGGCAGGAATCAAAGTTCTGCCCCCTGTCCCAGGTTCTGTCCTGGTATGCATGGCGTGCGTCCACCTGTCAGTATGAGCATTGGGGTCACCTCCTCTCTCCTACCCTGTCCTCTTGTCACTGAAGTTTCCAGCACAAGTATGAGCCACATTTACTCACGCTTGTCCGTCAGCCTCCCTGCTGCACTGGAAGTACTCCCAGGGCTTTCCTACGTCAGGGATACTGAGAGCCCATCAGATGCCTCCCTGGGCAGATGAATTAGAAAAAGCCCCCCCTTTATACAAAAATGAAGTGGGCAGATGCAGTGGCTCATGCCTGCAATCCTAGCACTTTGGGAGGCCAAGGTGGGTGGATTGCTTGAGCTCAGAAGTTCTTTGAGAGCAGCCTGAGCTAGAGCAAGGGAGACAAAGTAAGACTCTATCTCCAAAAAAAGAAAAATAAAAATAAATAAGAAGACTCAGCATCTATAGCTCAACCGGCTAAGGCACCAGCCATGTATACCTAAGGTGGCAGGTTCGAATCCCCAGCCCGGACCCGCCAAACAACAATGACGGCTGCAACCAAAAAATAGCCGGGCGTTGTGGCGGGCACCTGTGGTCCCAGCTACTTGGGAGGTGGAGGCAGGAGACTCGCTTGAGCCCAGGAGTTGGAGGTTGCTGTGAGCTGTAATGCCACGGCATTCTACCCAGGGGGACAGCTTGAGGCTCTGTCTCAAAAAAAAAAAATAAATAAATAAATAAGAAGACCCCGTGTCTAAAAAATAGCAGAGTGTTGTGGTGGGCACCTGTAGTCCCAGCTACTTGGGTGACTGAGGCAAGAGGATCACTTGGGCCTAAAAGTTTGAAGTTGTTATGAGTTCAGATGCCACAGCAATCTACTGAGGGCAAACAGAGACTCTGTCTCAAAAAAAAATAAAAAAGAAAAAAGAAAAAAAATCGAAAAACTAGCCAGGTGTTGTGGCGCATGCCTGAAGTCCCAGCTACTCAGGAGGCTGAGACAAGAAGATCACATGAGCCCAGGAATTTGAGGTTGCTGTGAGCTATGATACCACAGTACTATACTGAGGGCAACAGAGAAAAAAAACAAAAACAAAAAACTACAAACAAAAGTAAAGTTGCCAGGGAGACTGCTGAACTAGGATGATGGCTCGGTGAGTGGATCCCAGCCAGGGTTGCAGGCCCCTCGCCCGCTTTGGCTGCACTTCTGTGTGGTTCCCAACATGTAAGTTGGGAAAGGCCTCCTGGTCCCTTCCACTCCGCAGCACGTGGCAAAGGGCTCTGCACAAATGAATGGAGAATGACCCATGTGCAGTTATGGGACATCACAGCAGGATCAGCCCTCCCCGATCTTCCTCCAAGTATTAAGACCTTGTTTACAGGTGGGGCAACTGAGGCTGAACACCTTACTTCAAACAAGTGTGTTTCCTTCTAATAGTACTTGGCTCCCGAAGTGCTTCGGAAAGAGCCTTATGACCGCGCAGTGGACTGGTGGTGCTTGGGGGCAGTCCTCTACGAGATGCTACAGGGCCTGGTGAGTGGCATGTAGCCGTCTGCAGGGGACATCTGGGTCTGCAGTGAGCTGGGCCGGGTCTCTCCCAAGGTGGTCCACACAGCTCTGGTCAGGGAACTGAACAAACCATCACTTCATTCCAGGCTAAAAAAAGATGATGCCCAGGTGAATGTGAGGATTGCAGATTTTTCCAATAATGTTAGTTTAGCACTTTACAGTTTATAACACACTGTCTCACCTTGGGTACATCCAAACAGTTTTTGGAGGTTGACACTGAAGGAAATGGAGTTATTTTTATTTTACTGAGAGAGAAACTAAGGCCAAGAGAGCTTGTGTCCCAGTAGATGGTGGAACCAACCCAGGTTGGTTGCTTAGGTGGAGACGTGCGTCAACTTGCCCCACGACGTGCCACTTTACTCTGGGTGGTTTCACCCACATAGCCTGGTGTGTAAAAGGGCACAGGCTCAGCGGAGTCAGAAGGAACAGCTGGCAGAGAAGTGGGAGGAAGAGCCATGAGAAAGAAAAGTGGCCCCTGCCTGCAGTGGGGGGCCTGCAGATCCGTGTGTAATTGCTCTGAGCCTTGTCTTCCCTTCTGAAAAATCCCGGCCTCTCTCAGATGTTTATAAGGCTTGGATAAAATGAGGAGGGTGGGAGTACAAACTTTGCCAAGTGGGAAGTAAATGCCTTTATAACATTGCTCTACAAATACAGTGCTAGAAAGCAAGAGAAAGAGAGAGACCAGGGGGTGCTCCTGGGGTGTTCACAAGCCTCACACTGGTGAGGAGAGACTTCCAGCCTTCGCAGAACCCCTCCACACTGTGCTAGAAGCCTGAAGGTCCTGCCTCTCTCATCTACCCTGTGAGCCATGGCCCAACACACGGGTCTGGGAGTCCTCCCAGCTGCCCGGCTTACTCTGCGTCTCCCTGAGGCTTTACCCACTTTCACATGGGTGATTCTCCAGCTGCTCTCTCTCTCTCTCTCTCTCTCTTTCTCACCAGCCACCCTTCTACAGCCAAGATGTGGCCCAGATGTATGACAACATTCTACACCAGCCGCTGCAGATCCCTGGGGGCCGGACAGTGGCTGCCTGCGACCTCCTGCAGGGCCTTCTCCATAAGGACCAGAGGCAGCGGCTGGGCTCCAAAGCAGACTTCGTAGGTGACCTGCCAGTGCAGCACTGGCCCCTTGTGTGGCTCTCAGTTTCCTGCAGAGGCAGCTCAGAAGCACATTGACATGTGTCTTACTACATGAAAGCCAGGCGCTGCTAGCTAGTTCACTTAGAAATTCACTGCTGCTGCCAGCTGACTATTGTCTGTAGTCTAGTTCTCTTAGTCAATATTTACTGAGCACCTGCTGTGCAGGGGGTTATTGAACTTGGTGCTAGGGATTCAATAGACTGGGTCTTTGCCCCTTAGGGATGACCAAAAATAATTATATACCAATATCATAAAGTGTGACCAGTGTCAGGAAGGAAATGAACAGTGAGCTGAGAGAGACAACAATGGGAGAGGGGACAGATTCACTCTAGTATGGTCAGGAAGGCTCTCTCAGAGGAGGTGACACTTAAGATGTTTGTGAGGCTTCGATAAAAGGAGCCAGTCATGCAGAGAGCTGGGCAAAGGCACCCCAGACCCAGTGTGTACCACATGCAAAAGTCCTGTGGTGGGAATGAAGACAGTGGCAAGCTTCAGGGGACTTTGAGCAGGGAAGTGGCATGACCCACTTACATTTTTAGAAGATTCCTCTAGGCTGAGTACATGGCTCACACCTGTAATCCTAGCACTCTGGGAGGCCGAGAAGGGTGGATTGCCTGAGCTCACAAGCTCTAGACCAGCCTGAATAAGAGCAAGAACCCATCTCAAAAAATAGCCACCTGGCTTGGCTCCTGTGGCTCAAGTGGCTAAGGTGCCAGCCACATACACCTGAGCTGGTGGGTTCGAATCCAGCCCGGGCCTGCCAAACAACCATGATGGCTGCAACCAAAAAATTGCCAGGCATTGTGGCAGCAGGCACCTGTAGTCCCAGCTACTTGGGAGGTGGAGGCAGGAGAATTGCTTAAGCCCAGGAGTTGGAGGTTGCTGTGAGATATGATGCCACGACACTCTACCCAGGGCAATAGCTTGAGGCTCTGTCTCAAAAAAAAAAAAAATAAAAATAATAGCCAGCCGTTGTGGCTGGTGCCTGTAGTCCCAGCTACTTGGGAGGCTGAGGCAAGAGGATCACTTGAGCCCAAGAGTTTGAGATTACTGTGAACTATTATGCCACTCTGTCTCAAAAACAACAACAGAAAAACAACCCCCCCCCAAACCCATAGATAGATGGATTTAGAGGATACAAATGCAGTTTGTTACATGGATGTATTGCATAGTGGTGGTGTCTAGGCTTTTTTTTTTTTTTTTTTTAGATAGAGTCTCACTATGTCACCCTTGGTAGAGTGCTGTGTTGTCATAGCTTACAGCAACCTCTAACTCTTGGGCTTAAGCGATTCTCTTGCCTCAGCCTCCCAAGTAGCTGGGACTACAGGTGCCTGCCACAATGCCTGGCTATTTTTTGGTTGCAGTTGTTGTTGTTTAGCAGGTTCGAACTCCAAGTTCAAACCTGCCAGTTTCGGTGTATGTGGTTAGCGCCCTACTCACTGAGCTATGGGCACCGAGCCAAGTCTAGGCTTTTGTTTATTTATTTTTATATTGTAGAGACAGCTTCTTGCTGTGTTGCCCGGGCTGGTCTTGAACAACTAGTCTCAGGTAATCCTCCCTGCTTAGGCCTCCTAAAGTGCTGGGATTACAGGTGTGAGACACCATGCCAGGCCTGATCTTGGCTTTTTGTATAGTCAGCACCCACTTATACATTTGGGGTACCCATTTGGTAATTTCTTATCCTTCAACCTCCTCCCACCCCACCCTCCAGTGTCTATTATTCTATTCTCAGATCTGTCTTTTTAAGCAGTTGACTAGGGGGTTCTGATACAGAGAGTTGGGGAATCCTTTTTTGGGATACACAGGTATGAGGAAGGTTCTGCTATGAAGGGGAAGAAGTTGGTGCTAACACTGATTTTAATTCGGTAAGACAGGGTAAATCATGGCCCGGTCTAAGTCCTAAATTCCGAGTCTCTGGAAATCTGCAGATTTTCTTGGAGTTTTACTTCTCCAACCTTTCTTAGTGAGTTGATTTGGTCTATTTCTCTGGTTTGCATTCTAGAAGACTCAAGATGTACTGAATCAGAATTGGGGGAGAGTCCCCAAGCACCCCTTGGGAGCCTTCCTTCCCCTCTCCCGACAGAATAGGTTCTGCTATCTTGTTTGGTGACATGCTTCCAAAGCCTAGGATGGTGCAGGAGCTCATAAAAGGTGCTCAGTAAATAGTTGGCACACAGTAGGTGCTCAATAGTTGGCACACAGTAGGTGCTCAGTAAATAGCTGCAGACTAAACAGATGCTGTGGGGGAGAAAGGTTTAGATTCTGGATGATGGGAGAGGCCTGGCTGCAGAATGCTTTCTTGTCCTGGGAAACCAGCCAGAACTGTAAGTTATTTTCCAGTTGACAGCCGGCTGCTGGTAGAATTGGGGCCCCTGAAGATATGGGGTAGGGTGGAGTGTCTATGGGGAGGCTACGTCTAACCAGCCCTTTCTTCCTGCAGCTTGAGATAAAGAATCATGTATTCTTCAGCCCCATAAACTGGGATGACTTGTACCACAAGAGGCTGACTCCACCTTTCAACCCCAATGTGGTAAGAGGTCACGGCATGCTAGCTTCTGGATTTTTCTGGTGGGATCTTAGTATGTGCGCCAACTTTCTTTAGACAGATGGAAAAATTGGGGTGGGGTGGGGCCAAGAGGCTGACTGATTTGTCCAAGGCCACACGGTAACTGTGAGGCAAAAGTGGGTCTCGAACCTGCAAGTCCTGCCTGCTGGCTCAGTTCTTGGGTGACAAGCTGCTGCCCTTTATCTTTAGCACCCACAGGGCCTTTTACGGTTTTTAAAGTCCCGTGTCACGTAGCACACCCAGACAGAGCCAAGCACCACAGAGATAGTTTATCTTTTTCTATTTTTAGACTTGTTCCTGATAATAAAAATAATGTGATGTATTCCTTGTAAGAAATGTTTATATAAAGCAGAGAAGTTTAAAGCAGCATCAGGGAAATGCTTATTATATCACCAACTAAGAAAAAAACCCTGGCATATTTCCTTCCAGTCTTTTTTTTTTTTTTTGAGAGAGAGAGACAGAGTCTCACTACGTCACCCTCGGTAGAGTGCCCTGGCATCACAGCTCAGTGACCTCAAACCCTTGGGCTTAAGCGATTCTCTTGCCTCAGCCTCCCAAGTAGCTGGGACTACAGGCATGAACTACCACGCCTGGGTTCCCTGGTTTTCTGGCTAAAAACTGTTATTTCTGTATATCATATGAAACTTTATAAATATCACTTTTAGTGGCTACATATTTCAATCTTAACATTTGTAACATATTTTACTCAACCATTTTTTTTTTTGAGACAGTCTCACTTTGTCGCCCTCGGTAGAGTGCTGTGCTCACAGCAACCTCAAACTCTTGGGCTCAAACTCTCTTGCCTCATCCTCCTGAGTAGCTGGGACTACAGGTGCCTGAAACAACACCCAGCTATTTTTAGAGGTGGGGTCTTGCTCTGGCTCAGGCTGGTCTCAAACCCCTGAGCTCAGGCAATCCACCCGCCTCGGCTTCTGAAGTGCTAGGATTATAGGCGTGCGCCACCGTGTCCAGTCATTCAACCATGCTTCTAATGGAAAACCTTGGGTTGTTACCATTTTTTTTTTCTCTATCATAACATGCTGATGAACCTCTTTACGTCTATGTCTTTGCCCAGAGTTCTGGTGACTTTGTTAAGATGGATTCCTGATGGGGAACTGCCAGGTCAAATATGAACATTTTTAAGTTCTTCATTCATACTACCTGTCTACCACGTGGAAAGGAAAACAATCTACTTCTTACCAGTGGAGTCTGCTAGGGAGTTTGTATCTTACTGGCCCTTTGTAGCGTGTGTTGTTGTTGTTTTTTACTATGCAAATTTGGTAAGGAAAAAATGGCATCTCATTGTTTTAATTTATAGTGCTTTGATGTGTGGTGAAGGTGGTTTTTTTTTTTTATTTTTTATTTTGTAGAGACAGTCTCACTCTATTGTCCTTGGTAGAGTGCTGTGGCATCACACAGCTCACAGCAACCTCCAACTCCTGGGCTTAGGCAATTCTCTTGCTTCACCCTCCCAAGTAGCTGGGACTACAGGCACCCGCCACAACGCCTGGCTATTTTTAGAGAAAGGGTCTTGCTCTTGCTCAGGCTGGTCTTGAACCCATGATGTTAGGCAATCCACCTGCTGGGATAATAGGCATGAGCTACTGTGCCCCGCCAGTGGTTAGTGTTTAAACATTAATTACCAGTGGCTAATTAGAATCATCCAGTTGGAGGAGAGTCCTGACATCCCTCTCTGAGACTCTGTGCTTTCTTGGCAGCTCTGACTCCAGTGCTCCCTTTTCATCATTGGCTTCTGTTGACAGGAAGGACCTGCTGACCTGAAACACTTTGACCCAGAGTTCACCCAGGAAGCTGTGTCCAAGTCCATCGGCTGCACCCCTGACGCTGTGGCCAGCAGCTCTGGGGCCTCAAGCGCATTTCTGGGATTTTCTTATGCGCAGGAGGATAATGACCTCTTGGATTGCTAGAAGAGAATCACCTGTGAAACCACTGAGACCAGCTTGGTATTAGTAAGGACTTACTTCTCAGCAAAATAATAATGACCTGAATGAGAAACAAGTCAATTTTTTCCCATCACATAAAAGAATAGTGTCAGGTGGTCCAGGGCTGTCATCAGACACTCAAAGGCAATGGTGTCCACTATTAGGGTTGCTCCATTATCACGAGATGGTTATTAGAGCTTTTATGTTCTGAGCAAGGAAAAAAGATGAAGGGGGAAGGGCAACATGATTTTTAAAAGCTTTCCCAGAAACCTCACTGATGACTTTGCTTACATCTAACTAACTACCCTCCCTTTCCTGGATTGGAGGCTGCACTGTCTGACTCATTAGCTGGACACATGATTACCCCCGAAATAAAGGGGTTTTGACAGTAGGGAGAAAGGAGAATGTTGGATAGGCAACCGGCACTCTTTACCAGAAGGCCTCTTAGTGTTCAGATTTTGATCTCAATGTGTTGAATGACAGAGTTATAATGAGCTTATAGGGTATTAGCCAACATCTCTTATTCTTCCATAGCGATGGTGTCTTTGTTGTTTTGGGTTGGCTGCTTAGTAACTGAACCCCTTCCTATGTTTAGGGAGTCCCCTCTTTATAAACCTTCAAGAAATGCAAGAACTACCTCCATTTAGAGTAGCTGAAAATGTGAGACGCTGATTTTCCCAGCCTCCCTTGAGCTAGGGCCAGGCACGTGTCCCAAGGATGCACCTATGCCAGTCTTTGACTCAAGCAAGGGACTAGGAGCTCTTTTTCATGTGTTAATCATGGAACATACCCACAAAACTGAGTTTCTGGGGTAGAAGTAGCAACAATGCAAACTGTAGCAATTAGTACTCAGCATCAGCACCAGCAGCAGTTTTCTCATCAGACCAGTACTGCAGTATCTTGCTGGAAGCCTCAAGACTCATCTCCAGCTTTCCTAATGATGTCCAGAGCTTTAGATGCTTTTTTTTCTTTTTTGAGATAGTCTCACTATGTTGCCCTAGGTAGAGTGCTGTGGCATCACAGCTCACAGCAACCTCACACTTGCGGGCTTAAGCAATTCTCTTGCCTCAGCCTCCCAAGTAGCTGGGACTACAGGCGCCCTCCACAATGCCTGGCTATTTTTTTGGTTGTAGTTGTCTTTGTTGTTTGGCAGGCCCAGGCCGGGTTTGAACCCGCCAGCTCCAGTGTATGTGGCTGGCGCCTTAGCCGCTGAGCTACAGGCGCTAAGCCAGCTTTAGATCCTTTTTAACACACTCCTTTTTTGCTTAATTGGCCAAAGCCAGCTTTAGATCGCCTGCTATGCTTGGCCAGTTTCTGTGTCTGTTAATACTTTTCATTCAAACAACTTTTAGGTAGGGATAGTGTTAATACTTTTCATTCAAACAACTTTTAGGTAGGGATTATTACTATCCCCTTTTTACCAATGAAGAAACAGAATCAGAGTTGTTCCTTGCCTGAAGGTTGCATAGCTAACAAGGGCTAGCACTGGGACTTGGTGCCATATTTAGCTCTCAGGATGAACTTTTATTTTTTTTGAGACAGAGTCTCACTTTGTCCAAATGCATGGATGCTGGCTGCCAAATGCATGTTGTGTAGCATTCCACCTCACATCGGGTGCTCAGGCCTTGGACAGAGATGGAGGCTACTGTAGACTTGGCCACCAGAGCTATCTGGCCATCCATGGAGCTCCATATGTTCAAGATTAGTTATTTCTATTTTTTTTTTTTTTTGAGGCAGAGTCTTACTATGTCACCTTCGGTAGAGTGCTGTGGCATCACAGCTCACAACAACCTCAAATTCTCGGGCTTAAGAGATTCTCTTACCTCAGCCTCCCAAGTAGCTGGGACTACAGGTGCCTGCCACAACGCCTGGCTATTTTTGGTTGCATTTGTCATTGTTTAGCAGACCAGGCCGGGTTAGAGCCTGCCACCCTTGGTGTGTATGTGGCTGCTGCCCTTACTCACTGAGCTATGGGCACCAAGCCAGATTAGTCATTTCTAAAGGTAATTCTGATTGAACAGAACGTTGAGCATATAACACTTCATGAATTCAGGACACCCTACACTTTTGGGATGGATCTTGTTTCCTTCAGTGGTTTTTTTTCACAAACTTGTAGTTCCTACCTGAGGGTGGCCTGGTTAGCTTTTTGGTTTGGGGACAAGGCGAGAAACTGTCTTAGGATCAGTGTATAAAGGTGAATGTATTGCCTTTCTTCTTAACTCAGTCTCATTCTTTCCCTTCCATTTTTGTCTGCCTAGTCCCCTGCCCAAACAATTATAGGGGAAAAATCCAAGAAACCATGGGAAAAACACCAATGCACTGCCTATTGGAGATTAAAGCTGAGTCAGGAAGAACTAATGTTCAATTTTTACATGTGCTGAGAACTCTCAAAGAAACTATCTGGTTTCCATCTTAATAGCTCTTGTTAATTGACAAATGTGGAATAAGATGAGGGAGAGGTCAACCCCCCCCCTAAACTTCCCAAAACAAAAACTGGAAGAGTTTAATCATCAGACACATGATAGTACTGTCAAAAATACAAAATCAGCTATGAGTTGTGAAATTTGTAATGGTTCTACCTGTTCTAAGATCATAAAATCATAAAAATGTTCACTAGGATAAAAAATAAAAATGGAAAACTAGGCTAGTGATCATGCTACACCTATGTTTGTTGAGATTGAGCACATTCCAAATTTTATATGCATAATCTACAATCCTCATTATAAAACAGCAGTTAGAAATTATTAACTTCACTTTGCAGATAGGAAACATTTGCTCAGAGAGATTAAGCAATTTGCCCAAGGTCACCCAGTTGGTAAGGAACTCAGCACATCAAGAGCTGAACTTGAAATGGCAGGACTTGGTAGAGGTGAATGTAGTGGCAGCGGATTCTAAAACTTCTGCTCTTCCTACAACCTCCAATAGACGTGTTCTGGGCAGATGCTTTAGCACAACAGGCAGAAAATTCCCAAGACTTGTCCCAGCCCTCAAGTGGAACAGCTTTCTCTTCAGTGGGAATAAATCACTTCCATTTTTACCCTAAATGCAGGCTGTATTCACCCAGTTTGGCACCAAAATACAGCATCCCCCCAAAGAGAATTCTCAATCACCCTCTTCTCCACTTTTTAAATTTGTTAAGGACAGAGGACAGTATTGTGAAAAGGCAATACCAATTGTGTGGGTACTTTAACTTTCTGAGACTCTCACTTTGTCACCCCCGGTAGAGTGCTGTGGCATCAGCTCATAGCAATCTCAGACTCTTGGGCTCAAGCGATTCTCTTGCCTCAGCTTCCCAAGTAGCTGGGACTACAGGCGCCCGCCACAGCGCCCGGCTATTTTTAGAAATGGGTTCTCCCTCTAGCTCAGGCTGATCTCCAACACGTGAGCTCAGGCGATCTCACCTCCCAGAGAGCTAGGATTACAGGCGTGAGCCACCGCGACCGTCTGTGTGTGTGTACTTCTATATTCCAAACTTCTGCTACTCTGTACTCTTTAAAGACAAGTATAAATGTAAACCAAAACTGTCAGAAGTCTCTGCGTTCATCGGTTTGAGCCTTCCAGGCTCCTGCGGCGTTGTACACAAATCCACGGACCTCCAAGCAGGCACGGAGCGCTCCCCTGCGGAGCAAGTACCCTGTCTGGGATCGCAGGCGTCCGATTTTCCATTTTCAAGACGATGGCAGGGCAACCTGTATGTGGTGATGGCTTTTTTGCATAAGCAGTTGCTTCTGCCAGCAATGCCCTATCCCAGCCCCTGCTTTAATGAATACTTTCCTTTCAAATCTATGTCCCTCTTTGATCAGCTCGTGCCCCTGACAATTCCCTAATACAGTTTATGTTTTTACATTTTTGTAGACTCTGGCTGGTCAACATCTAACTCCCTGCCTAAAAACGCATGGAGTTTTACCTCCACATTCTCCGGTGCTAATCAAAGGGAAAGAACCATTCCCTGTCACCATTCTCACCACTAAACCTAACCCCACTTTCCCTGAAAGACTTCCCTGGCCTCCCAATCTTCTTCCGCCAGGCCTTCGCCGCCGAAGCTTTTCTAATAGTCCGACGCATTCCACTTCCGGCACCGCCGCTCTGCGCCTGCGCCTTATTTGGGGCGGTTCGCTCCCGTCCACGCCCAAAGCCTTTACTATTCTCCTCCCTCAGAATGAGGCGAAATTTGGGAACCACCACTTTTGTCAGCTTTAAAAATCATTGATATTAAGGAACAAAAGTAAATGGGTTTATTTTCTGGGAAAAGCTCGTTCTTATTGTGTTTTGGCCCCTCACCCAAAGAATTGGTACAGTCTGGCATTAGCCCCGCCCCCTCCCTCCTCTCTTGGCGTCTGCGGCGTACAGGTACCTTCCGCTCTGTCGTCATCACGTCGCCGGAGGTAGCGCCTCGACCAGGCCACGCCTTTCCAGCGCACCGGGCCTCTGCCGTTGCTAAGCGGCCTTGGATACCTGGCGGCAGGATGCTGGGCGGCGGCGTCAGGTGAAGATGGTGGTCACTGCGCCTCAGGTAAGAAGGGCTCCAAGTGATGGGCCGGCTGAGACGTTGGGGCAACCTGGGAGCTGGAGAGAGCTTCGCCACATTCATCGAGGCCGCTGGGCCGGTCTTGTAGAAAATTCGAGGTCCACAGGGGTAAATTAGGGGCGCGGGTGTAGGCCGGAAACCCGGCCCTCTGGCTGGACCTCAGTCTTTATCGCGGGTTTTTAGTTGTCCTGAATATAGAGAGCACTGGACGGAGAATCGTTAAGATCTTAGTCTCTCTCCTTTTACTGCTGCGACCCTTTGTCGTTCCATCGCTTATCTTGGAAAACACTGATTTATTTGACTGTTAAAGTAATTGAAGAGATAAATCTAGAGAATGGGCGGATAGAGCTGTCCAAATATTGGTTATTTTTATTATTTTAAAGTTCTTTCGGCTCGGCGCCTGTGGCTCAAGTGGCTAAGGCGCCAGCCACATACACCTAAGGTGGCGGGTTCGAATTCAGACCGGGCCCGCCAAACAACAACGATGGCTGCAACCAAAAAATAGCCGGGCGTTGTGGCAGGCGCTTGTAGTCCCAGCCACTTGGGAGGCTGAGGCAGGAGACTCGCTTGAGCCCAGGAGTTGAAGGTTGCTGTGAGCTGTGATGCCATGGCACTCTACCCAGGGTGACAGCTTGTGGCTCTGTCTCAGAAAAATAAAATAAAACAAAATAAAGTTCTTTCTCATCCTTAAGGAAACTCATTTCTGGGTAATTCTGACAGTAGAGGAACCCAGATCTGCTGCTCCTGTGACCTACAATAAACTGTTAACTGGAAATGTAGCTTTTTTTTTTTTTGGCTCTTGCTTTCAGAGCCATAAATGGCAAAAAGAGTTCTTCTGATTTTCCTAGGAATTAGTTTCTGGCAAAAATAATTAATGGCAAAGCAGAAATATGTAAATTCCAGTACTGTGATGGCAAAAAGTTGAAAAGATGCCCACAAAGACAATGGTGGAGTTCCTTGTGGCAAAACGGTGCAGTAGCTCATACCCGCTAACCTCATCATGGAGACTTTTAAGATACTGGAGAAAGCAGAATATAATGTTGTATGTACACAATGTGAAAACAAGCATGTATATGGATGGAATAGAACAAAAAAATAGCTGTGTCACATTATGGGATCATGGGAGGGATTTTCATCAAACAGACAAAATGATTTCTAAAGTTCATAAAAAAGAATAAATATGTGACAGTAGCCAGGAAAATTCTAAAGATTAGATGTAGTAAGGGAAATTAGCTCTGTAGTACCACCAGATATTGTAACATAAAGGTATAGCAATTATGGAACTGAGCAGAAACTTACAGGCAGATAGAACATAATAGAAATAGGAATAAGACCAAGATTTATATATAGGGGTTTATTATATAATCAAGGTAGTACTGCATTTCAAGTCAGCCATGAAAAGTTGGATTAGTATCAGGCAGCTTTCTAGTAATTTAGAAAATGCTGAGGCCCATTTTGAACACCGAAATAAATTCCAAATGGGCCAAAATTTAAATTTAAAAAATTACATTGTGGCTTGGTGCCTGTGGCTCAGGTGGCTAGGGCGCTAGCCACATACACCTAAGGTGGCAGGTTTGAATCCAGCCTGGGCTGCCAAACAACAATGATGGCTGCAACC